ACAATCTTTTTAAATTGAAGTTATTAAAAAAAAAAAGAATGAAAGAGACCATGTCTTCCTCAATCTCCATTAAAAAAAAATAATTCAAACAAGAGAGTGACACATCTCCCTCTCCCTCTCCTTGCCTTCCCCTTCAAACCCCTAATCCGGACACACTGTAAAAGCTGGCTGGTGAATCATTTGTAGTTTTGTACTATCAAGTCCTAATCTATAATAATGTATAGTTAATTGGAATAACCTTGTATTACGAATTAAATAAATTATTTTGATGCAACAAAAACTCCTTAAATATTTGCAAATAAATATTTTATTTATAATTGAGAACCCCTCAATATATATGGACTTGTCCAATTGACTTGAAAGTACGTTTACATGTTGTAAGAAAAAAGGGGTAGCCATATGATCTCTTCACGTTTCTTGAGAAAATATAAATTAATCCCCCACACATTCCATGTGACAGGTTTAAAACCTTGGGCTTAAGCTTGCACGAGCTGAATCAAATTGACTGGAGAACAAACTGAGTTGTCCTTCAACAAACGCCTTGCCCACAGAAAATGTATGCTTTCTGTTGGGTGCCACAAGTCAAAGAACACATATTTCTCTCTGTATTCGCATGGCTCTTCCCCTTTATTGCACGGACTGCGTTCTGCTGTCTTGCAACAAGAACCTGTTACATTTGTAAATCCTACAAAAAAGAAAAAGAAAAAGAAAAAAGAAGTAATAAGTAAATTCTAATTAAATATAGGGATTAGTATTTATCCACCTTACTTCTCAAAAATTAGGAGGAAAAAAGGACAAATATCACCATATACTTTAAAAATAGGGTAGTTTAGTTTTTTTCAATAAAAAGTTATTGAAACGACGTAATTTTAGAATAATTTTCTTCTTAATATTTAAAAGGTAAGGTTGATAGGTTCTTATTTCTTAAATATAATTTATCAATATTTTATTATATAATTTATTATTAAATCCGTATATATATAAAAGTAAATTCAATTTTATTTAGTTTGTATGTTGAAAGTACCGTAAGTAGTTATAAGAAGTGTAATTTGTGCAACTTTCTATTGTATTTTTAAGTGACTCTTACCAAATGAACGTGGTGAAGCAAAAACATCCTCAAAAATGGTGTAAAGATCTCCAAGAACAAATTTAGATCCTGGGAGGGTGGACTGCAGTTCTTTAAGTAAATCTGGAAGCAGCTTGTTGTAGGCAGATACTTTGTTGTTTGTATCATCATCACAAGCTTTTGTATTAGGTTGTAGACTAGTTAGCATGCATCCGACTGGACAGACATTATTTACAAAAATCTTGCGCGCACCAAGTTTATACAATATCTGTTTCAAAAGATGAAAACAACAAGATTAATTATTGCACTTAAAAGCTCTAACGTTGATAAAAAAGAAATATACGTAAAAGAGGCTGCGATTTTCTAGTCTCGAATTGTTTAAAAAAATTTTCATTTTGAGTTGGAAAAGATTAAAATATTTTTAATTCATCAATATACGTGTAATTTATTAAAGATACATTTTAGTTTTTTCCATCCAAATTGACATTTTTTCAACAGGTATGAATTGAAAAATATGTTTTGGTTGTTAAAACAATTATAACATATACCGGAAAAGTGATCTACCTCTAGTTGCTTGGAAAACTGTTGAGAGACGAATTCAGCATACTTGTCGAAGTTATTAACACCATACTGGTCTTTGTAATAGAACTGCCATTGAGCGGCAAAGTCATTGCTACCCATATTGATGAAGAAGAGAGCTTTTGACATGTATTCAGCATAGCTTTCTGTGCTATTGAACTGCGATTTCACGTCGTGAGTTGTGTTCTGGAACAGAGCTAGTTGTTCATCAAAGGTCAACACATCTCCCTAATGGATAAATTAGAAAAAAAAAAAAAAGTTAGTACAAGCATGTATGATCATACAAAAAGGTGCTTGTCAATCTAAAGACATTGATTTTTAATTGGATGCTCGTCACAATAATCTCAATACTATTAAGTGGAAAAGGATAATTGTGAGTGAATCAATATATAAATGTGAAAATCAATTATTATTTATATTTTGAATTAAAAATTTTAAAATTTATGAACTTTAAAAAATTGTTAAATTAGTGACAAACTCTAAAAAAAGTTGTTATAGTAGTAGTAAGCTTTGTTTAGATCATTTCAATTTACTTGTTTACACTTGATAAGTGTGTGGGGTTTGTTAAGAAAACTAAGAATATACAATAGGAGTGGAGAAAACAAAAAGAAAGGCTGCTAAAGGTGACTTACGGTTATATTTTGCACCGAAGGAGCCTCGGTAAGAATAGCACCAAAAGCTGATCCGTAATTGACTCCAGTCAGAGTTTTTTTTCTATCAGCGTCCGACATGCCAAGCGCTGGTGGAGGAGATGGCAAGCCTAGTGCTTGAGCTGCATTATAAAAATGAACATACCAAGCATTAGTTAGCATAAATTCAAGAGAAGCTAACTCTGTAAGATTTCATTATAAGAAAATATTGCGACAATCCGTTGGTCTAATTACCAATAAAGTCAACCACATTTCTGCCGTTTGTAACACGACCGGTGGCGTTATGACCACCACCAAAATCTATTCCATATGGTGCAAAAGTGAATTTATTTGTATTTGCTTCCAAGAACTTGTTGTTTCCAACATCAACAAATGCTTCTCCGAAAACGTAAAGAGCAGGCAAGTCAATGTTGATGTCCCCCAAGGACAAACGCTGTCTGAGATCTTTGGTGGTAATTATGTCCTTCTGTGGCACTGGAAGCAAGTCTCCAGAACCTAAAGAGAAGAATTGAAGGAAAAGAAGAATGAGGGGGGCACCAACAAAGATACCCATTATTTTCTAACTTTCAAATCAAAAGGACAAGTTGGGTTCTGAGTTTTTTGTGATTTGGGAATTGCTATTTATAATGTTGCTTGTCAGATTTAATTTGTTCACAGATTTTTAGTTAGACTTGTTCACGGTTGGGAGAATAGGCGCCTTTTTTTAGCACACGTCTAAATTAGCCTTCGAAACATAAGGAATTGGTTATGACTTTTTAAACGGTCAAGACCAAAAAGTGTTCCTCTTGGTTGAATATAGCTCATATCATATCAATTCATTTTTTTTTTAAATTTTGATTATAATGAAAGGTAATTATTTTTATTTATTATTTTATTTTATTTACATATCATACAATTTGAATTTAAAATTTTTTATTTTTAATAAAAAAATTTATTGATTTATTTAGATTATTCACATCAATTCAATTTTCTTAGAAACTAAGATTTGATTACTCTTATAATTTTGGGTTTATGATTTAGATTTTGCAATTAGAATTAAAAAAATTAATTTTAAATACATTTAAAATTAAAATCAATTAAAAAATAATTATGTTTGGCGATTCAAAAATACTCACGCCATCTAAACTAAATAATAATAATAATAATAATAATAATAATAAACTTTTCCCTAAAGATGAAAGCGGTGCCTAATATTGGGGCAAATCCTTCTTTATGGTTTTTATTAACAGTTAAGATGTTATCGACCTAAAGTACCTTTTAAAAAGTCATTCTAATTTTTGCTTTTCTCACTTTCTTTTCTTCACTTCATATTAATATTCTTAGAAGCCTAACCTTTTGTCAATGTGAGGGAATAAAAGTAGCTTTTTCGTCCCTGTAATTTTCAAGGTACTATGGACCCACTTTTACTAGCTAAGGTCAAAGACTTGACTTTGGATTCTTGGTGAGGTTTGACAAAAAAAAATAAAAAAAAATAAAAGCTAATTAATCAGAAAAAAAATTATTTACTTTTCAAAGGAACATAGAATTGGGCCCCCTCAAGGGGTAGTTCAACTGCTTGGGCCATTTAAAATATATAGTCTACAAATTGGACACAAAGGGAAACAAAATTGGACTTTATTGAAGAAAAGAATTGTTTCCTGACTTTCATGAAAGATAGAAAATCAGAAAACTAGATGCAGCTTCAAAAATTTCAACAGCTGGATGAGGGGTATATGTCACTGCATTTGTTAAAGGATGCTTCTTATAATCTGCTCAACTTTGTAAACATGTAATCATGCACTTTCACCTTACCATTCGAGCTACAAATTGAAGTACTTAACGGGTCTATCAAAATTAGTTTTGCACATTGACTTTATATATACACAAGTTTTAGATAACGTTTTCATACTATGAATGATAATTCAATTTTTTTTTCTACATATTATTCTTGTTTTCAATTGTTATTCTTCACTCTATACAAGTATTATGTTAAATTGCGTGCAAAATTTTAGGGGGGGAAGCCTTATGTCCTCTGTTCACCTCACTTCTTACTGGACAAAAGCTTATCAAGGGTTGTGTAGAGGTTTTGGGCCTTGAGGTGCCCTTCCTCCTCCCTTGTTGGATATTGGATTGTTAGTCCTGATCTAAGCTCATAATAGAACCCAATTTCTAATTCATGAGCAAAAGTTGACTGTGGCCCAATTTCAACCCATAACCAGCTCTGGATCCCCCATTCCTGCAAACAAACCCACAGAATGCAAAAGCAATAGAAGTTTAGCCACAACTTTTGCTTTTCTAAGAGAATGAAATCTTTTTAATTTTTTATAACGGATTTCATGAGGAAAGAATTTCAGAATCCTTTCAAAGTTCCTCTTTTAAGGCATTGTTTTAAATAATAAGTTCCACATACAAAAATTCTAATTGTCCAAATAAACCTTTTTTTACCAGTTCCAACTGAAAAATTGTAATTCTTTTGTATATAAAATAGATACATTTGTTTTTTGGTGTATCAAAACCAAAAGTTTCGTTGATAAGAAAAGCAATGTACAAATCGATTTTGGCATTCCTTTCTCACGTTAAATTTCTTCTAAAACTTCATTCATCCAAACACAGCCTTCATTAACATAAAATGAAAAGAAGAAGAAGAAGAAGCACAAACTTATTTTAGTTAGTATCACTAATTCCATCACTTGAGTGTAAATAATTCTAATAGTTTACACTCACGTTCTTGAAGATAAAATCTTATTCGATATATGATAATAAGACAAGTTATAAATACCTATAAAATTAGTGAAATAAAAAATACGAACACATATATCATTCCAAAAAAAAAAAAAAAAAGGATACAAAGGTGATCACGTTTGTCAAAATTGCCACCGAAAGTTATTGTCCCTGTATAACTTTTTTTCACCGACCAATAAATCCTAAGAATTGGGTTTCTAGTGAAGTCCACAAATAATCACAACACCAATCCTTTTCTCTGAACCGGCCAAAGCAATAAGTGGCTGCCAAGTGTTCGATAATTTAGCCAAGAGGGCTCACCCCTGGTCCAGCGGTCCCCATGGGAGGGAGCCAGGTAGGCCGCCCAAAGTCCATGTCACAGTCTCATATTGAGAACACAGAATGCAAAAGGGTGTACGAGTTAGATAAGACTAGATTCCAATTTATCATGTGGCCTACCCACCAAAATCAAAGTGAGAAACGTCCTTTTTCCTTTAGTGGGTATTTTTGGATATGGGGATCTTCATTATGCTTCGATATTTTTTGATGTGAGGATTTTGATTTTGGAGGTCAGTCCAAAAGGGATGATTTTTTGAGGCAGTTGGAAAACGAGTACAAATCTCATCCCTAGATGCCCAAATCTTCCAAACTTGGGACCATGTTCTTGCTTCTTATCTTGATAAAATGCAAGTTTATGTGTTTGTCACAGTGGAACAAGTGTTTTTTCTGTCTTACCTCCCACTGTCTCGACAGCGAGTTAGGAGGAGGAAGAAACTGTGTTTTTCAAAGGTCTTACCTAAATTAACAAATATTTCATTTTAAAAATTTTTATGGAAATTAAGGCTAATCTCCATGTGTTAACAACTTAAATAATTAAATGATAATTTTGTTTATTAAAGTTAAAAGTTTTAATTATAAGTTATATAATATATGGATGAAGTGGATTAATAAATAAGAGAGAGTTTTATGACCTATTGTACAACTTAAACCCAAGATAAAAAAAAATGTTTGACATGCACATAAAGGTGTAAGGTATAACTCGTTATTTTATTTTAAGTTTTTAAAAAAGCATCTCCTTTGAGGATATTGGATGTGTTTAATTTAGTTAATTTTAGCTATCCATAGTTTTTTTTAATAATTAGTTAAATTATTTAAAAATATAAATTTATAAATTAATTTTAAATTACTATTAATTGTTTTATTAATTATTAATTAACAATTATAGTTATAAATGAACAGTTGAGAACAGCCAAACTGAAACACAGCTGACATGTATTGGCCTTTTCATAAATAAACTAAAAAAAAAA